TTAGGTTTAAGGTAAGGGGTAGGGTAACATTTAGGGTCAGGGTCAGGGTTAGGGTCAGGGTTGGGGTCAGGGTTAGGATTAAGGTAAGGGTTAGTGTTAGGTTTAAGGTAAGGGGTAGGGTAACATTTAGGGTTAGGGTCAGGGTCAGGGTTAGGGTTCAGCATTAGGGTTAGGGTAAGGGTTAGGGTAAGGGTCAGGGTTAAGGTTAAGGTAAGGGTTAGTATTAGGTTTAAGTTAAGGGTCAGGTAACAGGGTTAAGGTCAGGGTCAGGGTTAGGGTTAGGGTTTAGCATTAGGGTTAGGGTAAGGATTAGGGTAAGGATTAGGGTTAGGATTAGGGTAAGGGTCAGGGTTAGGGTCAGGGCTAGATTAGGGTTCAGCATTAGGGTTAGGGTAAGGGTTAGGGTTAGGGAAAGAGTCAGGGTTAAGGTTAAGGTAAGGGTTAGTATTAGGTTTAAGGTAAGGGGTAGGGTAACAGTTTAGGGTCAGGGTCAGGGTTAGGGTTTAGCATTAGGGTTAGGGTAAGGGTTAGGGTTAGGATTAGGGTAAGGGTTAGGGTTAGGTTTAAGGGAAGGGTCAGGTAACAGTTAGTGTTAGGGTAAGGGTCAGGGTTAGGGTCAGGGCTAGGGTTAAGGTAAGGGTAGTATTAGGTTTAAGGTAAGGGGTTGGGTAATAGGGTTAGTGTTAGGGTCAGGGTCAGGGTTAGGGTTAGGGTTTAGCATTAGGGTTAGGGTAAGGATTAGGGTTAGGATTAGGATACGGGTAAGGGTTAGGGTTTAACATTAGGGTTAGGGTTAGGATTAGGGTAAGGGTTAGGGTTTAGCATTAGGATTGGGGTAAGGGTTAGGGTTAGGGTTTAGCATTAGGGTTAGGGTAAGGATTAGGGTTAGGATTAGGATACGGGTAAGGATTAGGGTAAGGGTTAAGGTTAGGACAGGGTAAGGGTTAGGGTTTAGCATTAGGGTTAGGGTTAGGGTTAGGGTTAGGGAGCGATAGGATTGCATAGATTCAGCACAACCAGGCACCGATGGGATAGAAATCTGCGCCTCCAAACACTGGTCCATGGAATGGCCAGAGAACATCCCTGCTGTGACCACTCATGGGGGAGTCAGTCTGAGTGGAACTGAGGGGAGGGGCTGCGTAGGAGCCGGTTCTAATTAATCCCATGCCCATTGTGTTTCTCTGCTTCTGCTTTGTTCCGGCATCTCAGTCATCAGCTGTGGAGATCCGGGCACACCAGCCAACGGCATCCAATTCGGCACCGACTTCACCTTCAACAAGACCGTGAGCTACCAGTGCAGCCCCGGCCATGTCCTGGAGCCGGCCTCGGGGGCCACGCTCCGCTGCCTGGGGGACGGCGCCTGGAGCCACAGCAGACCTGTCTGCAGAGGTGGGTCCCTGTGCGCGGTGCGTCTCACCCGGGGAAGTGCTTGTGGAATTGCGCTTCACTCCGTCTTGCATGAGCGTCATCCCTCTATGCACTAGGAATGCTTGTAAACGAATTTTCAAATGGCAGATCACATGATTTTCTATTTGTTTTTTCCCTTTTTTTGCAAAATGATTGGAAAACAGTTATGACACTAAAATGTATACATCCCACTGTTAAAAATCAAAGTAGTGAGTCGCTGGCGCAGTCCCTGAGCTTTTTTCTTGGAAAGACTAATTGGATGGGAGTGTTCCTTCCGTCCGCGGCCAAGTGTGTACCGAGCTCACGTCACCTCCAGTCACTCTCCTGACGGTGCGCTGGCCTCGCTTCTCTGTCCTTGATCTAAATTAACGAAGAGAGATTAGGGAGAGGTTGTATCGATCGGATGTACTGTCTCCCTCAATCATTCTTTTATTAAAACATAAACGACTGCACGTAGGCGTCCCCCGAAATTCAGGTCACGTTAAAGCGTGGATCGTGCAGGCGTGCGGCCGCGAGGTTGGTCTGGCTGGTCTGACCTGTGTCCTCTCCTCTGGGCAGCCGTCCTGTGCAGCCCGCCGCCTCCCGTCCCGCATGGAGAAGTGGAGGGCACCGACTTCCACTGGGGCGCCAGCATCAGCTACAGCTGCGCGGCCGGCTACCAGCTGTCGCACCCCGCCATCCTGTCCTGCGAGGGCCCGGGCGTGTGGAAGGGGGAGACGCCCCAGTGCCTGCGTAAGTCCCCCCACAACCCCCCCCCGCCCGTGGGTCCCCTTTGCGTCCGCAGGGGCGTGAGCACCTGGGGAGATGATGGAGGACGCGGCCGTGTGTCCCTGATGACCAGGCGGGGACAGTGCAATGTCCAAGTGGAGCTGCCACTGCCCAAGGGCGGGTTCTGCCCTTCATTTATTTTTTAAAATATATTTTCATGATCTCAGAGAGGAAAGGAGAGGGAGAGAGAGAGAAACATCAATGATGAGAATCGTGGACCGGCTGCCTCCTGCATGCCCCCTACTGGGGATCGAGCCGCAACCCAGGCATGTGCCATGACCAGAATCGAACCGTGACCTCCTGGTTCATAGGTTGGCACTGAACCCCTGAGCCACGCCGGCCAGGCAGATTCTGACCTGATGGTTGTACCCGAAGGCGGAGCAGAGCGGGGTGAGGGTCGTGGTCACCTAGCCCGGGGCGCCTCCGCGCTGACCCTGTGCTGTCCCGCCAGCTGTGTTCTGTGGAGATCCGGGCACCCCCGCGGAGGGCCAGCTCAGCGGCAAGAGCTTCACCTACAAGTCTGAGGTCTCCTTCCAGTGCCGGCCGCCCTTCGTCCTGGTGGGCTCTCCCCGGAGGACCTGCCAGGCCGACGGCGCGTGGAGCGGCGTGCAGCCCGCCTGCATCGGTAAGGACTGCGCTGCCCTCGGGCATTTGGGGGTGAGGACATGGGGGGGTCATTTGTGAGGGCAGTGTCTCCTGGATCATGCCCCTTGATTCCCTGGGTAGAGACCCACAGGGTAGGTGGCACCTCCGTTAAATCGTGCAAATGAACTGGGAGCCTCAGTCCGCACTGTGCTGTTAGCCCCGGCCGGGCTCTCTTGCCCAGTCACTGCCCCTGGCCCATCACCTGGCAGTGGTCTTCCTTAGGGGACCCGCAGCTTCCTGGCAGGTGTCAGGGTTCCGGTTCTGGAAACAACCACAGCCTGGAGCCAGCCTCGCCCTTGCTCTCCCATCCCAGCGCCTGCCTGTCTCCCCACTGAGTCCCCGTGGAACCCGCTGGGCTGTGAGCGATGACAGCCAGGGTCACGTGGGCACTCAGGTCCCGGTGACCTCAGGGAATGGGAGCGAAACTTGCAACAGAAGAGACCTTCTACGCGCCCCCCGTCCCCGGTGTAGGGTGACTCCGCCGCATGGGCAGGCTGGGGTAGAGACGGCATTTGTTCCTGTGAGCGACGTGGACACCAGCCCCTGACTCCCCACTCAGTTGTCACTGCCGTAGGCACAGGGCGTGGCCGGGGGCACCCGCTGCAGGGGACAGGCTGCTGCCTGCGGGTCGTGGGAGCAGCTCCTGATTCACAGACAGTCTCGGTCGTTCTCTCAGAAATGGACCGACATCTACTTAGAAGCGACGGCTGAGGCCCCCCTCCCCGCAGGCAGGCTCACTGCCCTTCGCTTCCCGTGCTGCTGACAGTAGCGCTCCGTCTGCTAAACACATGCTTCTCCCCCGAGACGGTGCCGTCTGAAAACACTTTTTTTAAGTTTTCCACGAGCAGCTGGAGGGAAGCAAGTTGAAGAGCGTCCGTGTCCCCTGATGGCCCAGGTCCTGCGGCAGGAAAATGCCACCGTTGGCTGCCACGGGCTTCCGTCCTGTAGCATCAAATATGTGTCCTCCATTTTGAGGAAAATTGACTTAAGTAAACGGACTGATGTCACGGAGGATGGAGGAGTGGCCACTGATTGACTCCTTAAAACTGGGCCATGCAGGGGGTTGTGGGAGATGGAGTTTATTAACCAGCTGGTGTAGGACCGTGGTCGGCAAACTGCGGCTCGCGAGCCACATGCGGCTTTTTGGCCCCTTGAGTGTGGCTCTTCCACAAAATACCACGTGTGGGCGCACGTACAGTGCGATTGAAATTTCGTGGCCCATGCGCAGAAGTCGGTTTTTGGCCTGGGCGAGTCTATTTTGAAGAAGTACTGTTGATATTTGGCCCTGTTGACTAATGAGTTTGCCGACCACTGGTGTAGGAGGTCCGGAGAGAGACCGTGTCCAGGGAGGGACGGAGCAGGTGCTATGCTGATAAGACTGTGGGGTGATAAAGCACGAGAAACCCTTATCTAAAAGGCATCTCAACAGAAGGTGGAAAGAGCGATTTCCCTTAATTCCTAATGTACATACAAAACATCGGGCACATGTGTCTAAAGGCAATTGTCTCATTTATGTGCGGCCTGTTAGTATCCTACCCTGTTTTCAGTTTGTGATTGTGAATTTCAGATCCTGCTCACAACACCTGCCCAGACCCGGGGACCCCACACTTCGGAATACAAAACAGCTCCAGGGGCTACGAGGTGAGGCCTTTCTATTTCACGGCATCGTTCTGTCAGGATAGCAGGTGCTTGCTCCTTACACATAAGCGTATGTTTCCATGTGCCACGCCTCATGCCATGTTTGCCCACACGAAGCTCACTCAGGCAGGATGGATCTCGGTGTTTTAGCGGCGAAAACGGGGTGACTGGGCGTCATTCCCACGGGAGCGGCTGCTCTCGGTTCCTATGGGAACGCGTGCCTCTGGCGCTCGGTGTCGGCTGAGCCGCGGGCTCCCGGGGAGCGTGAGCACTGAGCGTCCGTCTCCCGGCAGGTGGGCAGCAGCGTGTTCTTCAGGTGCAGGAAGGGCTACCACGTGCAGGGCTCCACCACGCGCACCTGCCTCGCCAACCTCACGTGGAGCGGGATCCAGACCGAGTGCATCCGTAAGTGGGGCCCCGGCCTCAGCCCCGACGCCGGGAGGTGCTCAGCTTCGGGGGACAGTGCGGGGCTCCTCGTGTCCGTTTGAGTGTCTGTCACTCCCACACCAGGGTTCTCCGAGTTGGACTCACTGGGACCAGGGGCAGCAGCGTTCCCTGGGGGTTTGGGGGAGCCCTGCTGAGTGAGACCCCGGGGCGGGGTGGCCAGAGGCGGACAGGTCAGGGTTACCTGGCCCTGCAGGGGTTCCCCAGGCACCTGCGGTCTGAGGAGCCGCCTCTCCCTCACTCCAATGGACAGCGTTGTAGGGACGTCACAGAGGGAAGGCGGGCCTGTGGGTGCCGCTCTATGGCTCCTACTAGGGTTCCTTCCCCTGGGCAAGGGGTAAACTGCTGAGGGAATATGCCCCATACATGACAGGAATGTTTAAAGTGTGCTTTTTAAAATATATGTGTGTGTGTATATATATATATTATTTATTTCAAAGAGGAAGGAAGAGGGAGAGAGATAATTTAGAAGCATCCATGATGAGAGAGAATCACTGATCGGCTGCCTCCTGCACGCCCCCCACTGGGGATGGAGCCCCCAACCCAGGCATGTGCCCTGACTGGAATCCACCCATGACCTCCTGGTTCATGGGACAACGCTCAGCTACTGAGCCACACTGGCCGGGCCAAAGTTATTTTTTTTATTTAACTAAATAGTAAATTTGCTAGTTGCCTTCAGACAAAAATCAAGGCATGCCTGCACTCGTGTCCATCTGTGTGTTTCGTTCATAGCACTGGTCTTTACGGAAACGTAACATAGTCTTTATCTTAATGGTAACCAAATGTGATCGGTGTATTTCAAAGCTTTGGTTTCTAGTCTAAATTCCTACACATAAGCAATCACACATGCATCTGTAGAAGGAAGACATTCATGTGTGTGTACGGCAGCTGGCAAACATAGGTTTACAGTTGTTTGTATGGAAAAGAACACAATAATTAATGAATAACAGTACAAAAGGAAACGGGGTTTTGCGTGCTCACAACTGTAAGCCTAGTTTATGTGGGGGGACAGAGAAAAAGAAACAGAGCAGAGAGCGAGACAGGGGCAGAGAGGAGGAGGGGGAGGCAGGCGGGAGCGGGCACCCCGCCTTCATTCTGCTGGAAGCGCAGAGGGAGCCGGGATATTGTTGGTATTTCGGGGGATACCGTGTTCACAGTTTTAATTGTAAAGTGACTCCATAGCCATTCCCAAACGGGTGCCCTGCTTCTGCATTTCTCTAGACACATGTTCCCTTCCTCACGGACAGGGTTCCCCGTGTCCTAACGGAACTAATCCCGTTTCAGCTCATGCCTGCCGACAGCCCGAGACGCCCGCCCACGCGGACGTGCAAGCCATCGAGCTCCCCGCCTTCGGCTACACCCTGGTCTACACCTGCCACCCGGGCTTCTTCCTGGCCGGCGGCTCTGAGCACAGGACGTGCAAGGCCGATCTCAAGTGGACCGGGAAGTCGCCCGTCTGTAAAAGTAAGTCCTCGGGGAGGAGGCGGACAGGCCTCCCGCGCGGCAGAGCGGAACGCTGGCGCCATCAGGCCGGCGTCGGGTGTGAGCTCACAGGCACCAGCCCCGGGTGATGTCAGCCCCCGACCCTCCGTGCTTCCGTGTGGGCCCTGTGTGCACGTGTGTGCAGGAAGTGTGTGAGGCTAAGGGCAGACGCAGATGTTATGATCTGCGAATCACACGTTCACCCAAAGAGAAAAGCGATTTGGCTGAAGAAAAGCATGGCGAGTTAAAAGAAAGATAATGTATATATTTGGAAAATGTATCTTTTAATGAAAAGGGACAAATGTCACCAAGTACTATATTTATATTAAACCAGACCCTGTGAGTGTAAAGACCACAAGCTGTTTGGTGGTGGAATATGAGTTTATGTGTTCTTGACACTGGTTCTACCTTTGAAATTACAAAAGCTATTAACATGGAAATGAAGCACTAATCACACACAAATTTGCATATTTACAAATGAGAGTCATAATTCTGGGTCAGACTTGATGAGAGCTCACCTTCCGGGTTCCCCACCTACTTAGGTTCTACGCACATTGAGTGCCAACCACCATCGAGAAGCGTTAGGGAGCGTGGCGGAGCCCACCCCCTCAGTGCTCCTTTCCTGGAGCTTATAGTCCTGCAGTTAGGAATCCTTAGGCACTTTTTCTGGCCTTTCTCTCTCAGAAATAGAAGTAGACAGATTTTAAAAATGATGACTTGTAGTTTGATACAAAACTAGAAAAGCTAAGAGATTCTGAGATAAATGTAACTTGATAGACCAAATTAAACCTCTGCAAGAGACATACTTTGGCGGTATTTAACATTCACTTGCAGGTTCATGGATGCGGTGGGGATGCATAAATTAAGGGGAGTTATGAAATCTTAGCTATTTTGTTAACCTTTGGGTTGGGGGGCAGGGAGGGGGCAGCATGTCCCAAACAGGAGTCAGGAGTGGACGAAACCACCCTCATTTGCAAGGCTCTCTGTTGTAGCACAGAAACGCAAACACACGTGCTAGGCCGCCCTGGTTTCCAGCAGGACATGCTGCTGCGAACAGAGGGGTTACCATGGATACGGAGGAGACGAGCTGACTTTGTACACGCAAGAAATCCGGAGCAAGAAAACTGCTTCCATTTGACATTTTTTTCAAACTTATTCCAAAATCAATGCTCTTGAAAATGACAGTTTGTCTCTTTACTTGTAGGTAAAGGAGTGAGAGGAGTTAATGACACAGTTACTAAAACGCCAGGTTTGTATTCCAGACCAGGGACAGGTCGCGGTCACACGCAGCGCGTTGCTCGCCGCCGCACTCGGCCCAGGGATGCGCATTTTGACAGTTTCCGATGCCCTGAGTCTGCCACCACGTGCACGATTCAATCCTTGCAAACGCCAAGGCCACACCAGTTTCTATCGCTGTCACACCGTGGTCGGGGGCATCACAAGACGCACAGGCAAGCCCGTGGAGGCAGCACGAGGGTTCGTGCGAAGGTGCCTCGGGCATCTCGTGGGCAGGAAAGGACACACTTTGACGCGAGCCTGTGGTATAATGGAGAGCCTTCTAAAGAGGGTGGCCACCCTTGCCGCCCACGGGCGCGGGAGTGAGTGAGGCCTGGGCCCGCGGGCCGGGTGCGAGCAGTTCAGGCGTGTCACTCCGTGTTCTCCCAGGCGCCTCCAGGGTCCAGGCGTCCTCGGCCTCCAGCGCTCTGTGTTGTGTGTGGTGCCTGCCTAACGCTCGACCAGGCCCATCGGAGAGACGCAGGCCGTGCCCGGGGACAGGCATCCTTCCTTCTCCCTCAGCCGCCTCTCCTCCCCCTCTTGTAACTCTAGGGAATATTTAAACAATACGATGTACCCAGATTGTACTGTACGTCAAGCTTTTTAAACAGAATAGATCCTCTTTGTAAAGATATAGGGCCAGCCCCGGCTGGTTTGGCTCAGTGGATAGTGTGTTGGCTTGCAGACTGGATGGTTCCAGGGTCAATTCCGGTCAAGGGCACATGCCTGGGTTGCGGGCTCGATCCCCAGGAGGCAGCCGATCCATGATTCTCTCTCATCGTTGATGTTTCTCTCTCCCTCTCCCTCTCCCTCTCCCTTCCTCTCTGAAGTCAGTAAAAATATATTAAAAAAAAAAAAAGATCAAGGGCCATTGGGCCGCTTTCCCAGAGTTCTCCTTGCTCCACTTTAACCCTGATTTCTGGACCTGGATTCCTCGCAGGGCTCCCCTGCGGCCGCGAGTGGCCCGTGCGTGTAAGGCTAGGGTTTAGCCAGGGCTGTGTCACACGCCATCCTCAGACGAGGCAGAATGCCCCACAGGATGAAAGGAATGTCTCCAATGGACATCATGAGGCATGAAAACTACTCTAAAAAAATCCGGGCCATTCTATCCAGATGTTATTTACAAATCCAGCGAGGAAACCCACGCTCCTCGTCCATGCAGCGGCGCCTCCCAGGAGGAGAGGTCTGTGGTGGTCGGTGCTGTTTCCGTGGCTTGTTTTTGGTTGGAGAGACTGAGCTATCGGCACCCTTTTCTATGGGGGGGCGGGATGCATGCCTGCTCATGGCCACCCCTGACCTCGCTCCCGCGGAGGGAAGTGCTGCTGAAACGGGGTCTTTATCGAGGCGGCGCCGTCTCACGCCTTCCTGTTGCTGCTGCATTAGCCACCGGCCACACACGTCAGATGACAAGGACCCAAAACGACCCTGTCCCCACGTGACCGCTGGTCACACCTGGAGACAAACAAGCCGCTCTGAGCCCCACTCGGGCCGCGCTCCCAGGCTGTCCACCCCTCCCAGGCCAACTTCCGCCAACGGTTACAGTCAGACAAGCAGCCCCGCCGAGTGTGCGAATCTCATCAGGGAAAGAAAGCATCGTGATGTCACCTTATTATTTTTAATATCTTTATTGATTTCAGAGAAGAAGGGAGAGGGAGAGAGATAGAAACATCCATGATGAGAGAGAATCATGGATCGGCTGCCTCCTGCACACCCCACACTGGGGATCCAGCCCGCAACCCAGGCCTGTGCCCTGACCGGGAATTGAACCGTGACCTCCTGGTTCCTAGGTCGATGCTCAGCCCCTGAGCCAACCGGGCTTGATTCCATTTTAAAGGCTATTGATGTGAACAAAGAAAACGCAGTCACGTGGGTGAGCTGGGTCGCCGGGCCCTGCGGCTGCCGGTGGAGGAGGCAGCGATCGAGGTCCCTGCTCAGAGGCCTCAGCGCCGTGTGGACACCTCCGCCTGGATCTGTTTAACTCCTGAGGTGGTCATTGTCAGGAGGGCAGTCTGCTCAGGGCCATGGCCGTGAAGCCCTCTGTCCTGCTCGGGCTCCTGTGCTGCGGGCTGTGTCTGGCCGGGCCCGCCTGTCCGGGAAGGCGGGAAACGGCCGAGTGGACAGTGAGCGAAGCAGGAACACTCAGTGTCCCCGTGTCCTCGGCGTGCGTAGCTCTCAGCCAGGGTGGGGTACGTCCTGGCCCCGGGCCGTGCGAGGCCCGCGAAATCATGTGGCCTGGCCTTGCCAAGGCACCAGGGGTGAGGGAGGTCAATGTTTGGCCCACACAGAGCAGCTCATTTTTCAGGGGATAGTTTTGTACGGCCCACGAGTGATGCTATAAATGTCCGAGTGGCGCTTGCAGAAGGGTCCCCACCTGTGCTGAGTGGATTGAGTGAAACGGGGCGTTTCCGGTGGATTCCCCTCGCGGTGGGTCTCCTGTAATGACCTGCGTGGGCCCGCCCAGGCCGGACGCCAGGGACACGGCCCAACCCAGCCCAGCCTGCAGCAGCTGCCGGGGGAGTGTCGTCTGATGTGAAAGTGGCGTGTTTCATACACGTCTGCTAGCAGAAATGTGAAAAAGTAGGTTTAATTTTCATAACCAGTGGGGGGAAAAGAGAATATTTCAATAATCATTGCCAGTTCTCCCGACCGAGGTGAATTTTAAAGTTTTAAAAGACGTTTTGCCTTTCTTTCTGAATTGTGTGTGTGTGTGTGTGTGTGTGTGTACACATATAGATACATATAGTATGTGACACCATTGGATCTGACTTCTGACCAATGGTGGGATGTCCTCACACGGGGAAGAGAGGAGAGGATGGGGGAGGGGGAGGGAGGGGGTCGGTGAGAGCGGCTGGCTCAGTGTGTAAAGACCTCAGGAAGCAGAGCCCAGGGCCTCCTAACGGGCCATCACGTCCGAGCGGGGCTGAGACTCAGGCTGTGAGGGCAGGAGACCCGACCCTGTCACCCTCAGCCCCTCTGAGCCCCCTGCCCTTCACCGTGGAGCTGGAAGCTCTAAAATATCAGCGGAGATTTCACGGTCAGTTTAACACACTTCTTATTAAGCCCGATAAACTCTAACCATTGAGCAGCCTCAGCACACGCTCCGCCTCCGCAGGCCGGTTTGGCATCTGGAATATTCCTCCCCGAAATGACAGGCGCAAGCTGGCCCCTCCCAGCG